GGCTGTTTGGGTCCCTTGAGATTCCCAAATGAATTTAGGATGGATTTTTCTATTTCTATAAAAATTTTTGAGATCTTCTTTTTTTGGGGGAGGTGAGGAGAAATTTTCACTATAGGACACATGCACTCTTTGGGGAGACAGAAAGAGATAGAAAGTGAAAAATTACTCCCAGGAAAGATGGCCATGTCACAATTCCTTCTTTTCTATTCTTCTCTTAGGAATTCAAGCATGCATGCATGTGCACCCAGCATGAGTTTTAAGCTGCCAGGTCCAGGACTTGAACCGCAGTTGACTATGTGGGGATCCAGCGACATAACCATTATGCCATCTGCTGGTCCTGCATTGAGATTATAATAGTGATTTCATGTGCTCTGTAGCCAATTTGGGATATTATTGACATTGCATGCACTCTGTAGCCAATTTGGGGTAGTACCAATATTTTTTTAAAGAGATTTTTGCTTTAGGGTGCATGTGCTCACCAGAGAAGAGACAGAGACAGTGAGAGGAAAGGTGAGAAATCACCCCACAGAGGGGATGGCCATGCTGCAATCTCTTTCTTCCATTCTCCTTCTAAGATCTTGAGCATGCAAGCACACGTCCCCAGATTTTCAAGTTACCAGGTCTGGAACTTGAACTGTGGACAGCCTTGTCATGGGAGTCCAGTTATTTAAATGTTACTCCATCGGCTGGCCCAGTATTGAGCTCTTAACAGCATTAAATCTTCCAGTCTGTGAACACAGAATGTTTTTCTTTTTTTTTCTTAATTAATTAATTTATTTTTTATTTACACTTAATGCCTGCACTTTTGTGGTGTACATCATAGTTTTCCCCAGCATGAATACAGTGCATATTATCCAAGTCTAAGACATCACCATATACATTATTTGTGTCTTCTTTAATTTCTATAAGAAACATTATGTAGTTTTCATTATAAAAGACTTTTATCTCCTTGGTTCAGCTCATTGTGTGTGTGTGTGTGTGTGTGTGTGTGTGTGTGTGCTATTGTAAATGAAATTGTTTCTTAATTTACTTTTCAAATTATTATTCTCAGTGTATAGAAATATGTATAGAAATATGCTTTATTTTTCTGCGTTCATTTTCTATCCTGTGAATTTGCTGAATTTATTTATTAGTTCTAAGAGGTTTCTTATAGAATCTTTATGTGTTCTATATATGAGATCATATTGTCTGAGAATATATCTTTTACTTTTCAATTTGGGAGCTTCTCATTTCTTTCTCTTACCTAATTGCTATAGCTATAATTTCCAAGGTTATGTTAAGTAGATGTGATGAAAGTCAGCATTTTTGTCTTATTCCTGATCTTAGAGGAAAAGCTTTCAGGCTCTTGCTATTGAGTGCTATGTTAACAGTGATTTTTCAAATATGCCCTTTATTTTCTTGAGGTAGTTTTCTTCTATACTTAATTTTGTTGAGTATTTTCATCATGAAAAGGATTGAATTTTTATCAAGTGATGTTCCTGTATCTACTGAGTTAACCCTGTGTTCCTCCCTTTTATTCTGTTAATATGGTATGTTACATTGATTGATTTTCGTATGTTGACCTATTCTTGCATTCTAGGAATAAATCTCACTTCTTATATTGTTTAATCTTTTTAAAGAGCTGCTGAATTCAGTTCTCTAGTATTTCATTGAGGATTTTTGCATCACTATTCGTAAGGAATATTGGTTTTCCTTCCTTATAAAGTCTTTTGTTTTGATACCAGGATAATGCTGGCCTCATAAACTGAGGAAGTTTTCCCTCTTCCTCAATTTTTTAAGAATTGCTATCAGTTCTCGAAAATGTTTGGTAGAATTCACAGTGAAATAATCTCAACCAGGCCTTGGAACCAGCAGATGGCATAACAGTTTTGTTGCTGGACTCCCATGTAGTTGACTGCAGTTCGAGTCCTGGACCCAGCAGCTTAAAACTCATGCCAGGTGTGTGTGCATGCATGCCCAAAATCCCGAGAGGCGAATGGAGCAGAAGGGATTGCGGCATGGCATCCCCTCTGGTGGGTAATTTCTCCCTTTTCTGTCTCTATGTCTCTCTCTGTCTGTCTGGCGAGCACACGCGCCCTACAGTGAAAATCTCTCCAAAAAAATAAATAAATAAATAAATAATCGGAACTAGGGTTTTTTGGTTGTGTTGACAGATTTTTTTAAATTTTATTATTGATGAACTCTTACAGATCTGGTTTTTTTGTTTTGTTTTGTTTTTGTTTGTGTTTTCCTGTTTCTTCTTGGTTCAATCTAGGTAGGCTGTGTGTTTCTAGTAATTTGCACATTTCATCTAGTGGGATGTATTTTCAACCAATGATTCCGGACAGGAAAGACTTTAGAAATAGTTGCTTAGAATTCTTATATTATTCTATTATACTTTCTGTATTTACCCATATTAAATATTGTCCTAAAGTTTTGATATCATTTTGATAAGCAATTCATCTTGCCTTTTTAAATGAAGTTTTAAGATATTTAGGCCTCACCAGATAAACTACTTAAAAGTACTTATTATAGGACAAGAAGTCCAGGACTATGAATTCTGAAGGCAACCCTAAATTCTTCAGTGAGCTTGTATTTTATTTTCCTAAAAAAGCTGGACAAGTCTGGGCTGGCCCAGTAACCCAGTGGTTACAGGAGTTGGATTCCACATGGTTGATTGCATGTTTAAAACCCTGAACACAGTGATTTGAAAACATGCTAGGTGTATGCATGTGCTTGTCCAAAATCTCAACAAATTGGAAAAATGGGGAGAAAAGGATTGTGGTGTGACCATACCCCATTAGGAAAGCTTTTCTCTCTCCCCCTTTCTCTGTATTTCTGTCTCTATCTGATGAATTCAGGAGCTCTCTGACAAATTTTTAAAAAATGAAAAAAAATCTTGAGAAGTTCATTAATTCAATTATAGAAATATTATCTGGTTCTTTAATCCATTTTTCTGTTCCTAACTGAATACCACACACTGGGTAATTTGTAAAGAATAGAGGTTTATTTAGCTCATGGTTTTGAAAGTCTAAGGCAAGGGTCTTTTTTTGGTGAGGACTCATCAGAGTTCTGAAGTAGAGACGAACATCACTCGGTGAGCACTTCAGAGCTTGCATGTCTGTCTGTCTCTTTGTATCTTTCTTCTGGTCTTGCTCTGGTCTTTCTCCCTCTTATAAAAACCACCAGAATTCACTCATGGTGGGGGACATCCTAGTGACTTTATCTAATCCTAAAATGCCCTCCCAAAAGCCCCATCTCTTGGGGCTAGTTAGTGGGTGGTATAGTGGTTAAGGTGCTGAGCTCCCACATGACCAACTGTGGTTTGAGTCCTGGACTGAGCAGCTTGAAAATCACACCAGGCATATGCACACGCATACCCAAACTCCCAGGAGGAGAATGGTGAAGAAGGGATTGCAGCATGGCCATCACCATCCCCTCTGAAGGGAAATTTCTCACTTTCCCTCTCACAGTCTCTCTAGCAAGTGGCAAAAACCAAACCAACCAAACAAGCAAACAAACAAACAAAAACCAAACCTTCATGTATTAATTCCATAATGGAATTAACTTCCCATCTTCTTAATACCATCAATGGCATTTGAGTTTTCAACACGTGAATTTTTCTGGGGCCATATTCAAACAATAGCCCTGAACTATGGTTTAAAGCTACAAGATCTACCAGCTTGGTCATCATACTCACAATACCTTTCAAAATATAATAAAGAGTTACTGTCCAGTAAGGAAAATATGGTTAAGAAGAGCAGTAGGGGAATAAGAAGAGTATCTATTGGTGGTACAAAAAAGAATAGGGCAAGCACAGGAGGAAGTCAAGGTTTGGGGATCCAGAAGAGAAGTTACCCGGATCTGGGTCATGAGATACAGAAGAGAGGTGAAGTTTGGATTTTAGACCCATTGAGTCCGTATTTGTCCTTCCTAAGATATCTTTAAAGAAAGAGAGTGAGGGAAGAAGGAAGGAAGAAAGGAAGAGAGGAAAGGAGGGAAGGAAAAGGAAAGAGAAGGAGAGAAAGAGAAAAAAGACTGTTGATACTTAGAATGTTTCGGGACAAGCAGTTGTCGTAATGACTATGTCACTGAATTCCCATGGAGTTGACTGCGGTTCGAGTCCCAGACCCAGAGACTTAAACTCACACCTGGCGTGTGTGCATGCATGCCCAAGATCCCGAGAAGAAAATGGAGGAGAAGGGATTGCGGTGTGGCCATTCCCCCTGGGGGGTGATTTCTCACTTTCTGTCTCTCTGTCTCTCTCTGTCTTTCTGTTGAGCACACGTGCTCTATAGCGAAAACCTCTTTAAAAAAAAAGAAAAAGAAAAAAAGATATTTGGAATGTTTCTATTGTTTTATCTTAAGGCACTAGGCAAAAGACTAGCTTATTCTTATCCCACGTTTCCCAGAATATCTTGTGAAGGTGAATGTGAATGTAATTATACTAGTGAAATTCAGTGTCTTCACAGCCCAGGAAACTATTAGTATGCTAACAAATTTAGCATTTTTACCTCTTTCATTTAATTGTTCTACCCTTTGGAAGTATTTTGTTTAGTTAAATACATGTAGTTTGCTTAAGGATATTATAATCGTGGGCTATATACATTTATCAGTATTTGATTTCTGAATTCACCCCACTTTAAACAAAAATTGACTGAAAAAAAAAGTACTCCTACACATTTGTTTTTTTCTGTAATGATCCATAATCAGTGTTAACAGACATAATATGCTCATTTATTAGAGAGGAAATTAGGCAGCCTAGATTTACCTCTATATTGGTGTGTGTGTGTGTGTGTTGTGTGTGTACACACATATACATGAGCAGACAGACATTTGTACATCTGTTACACACAAAAATGTTGGCATTGTACTAAGAGTTGGCAACTCCAGCATGATGCTGTTTTTTCTAGTCATTTCCTCGGTCAGTCGGCATCTGTAAGATAATGGTGGTAACACTTAGTTGGGAGTCAGCATGTTTATAAGCTCGTGCAATGACTGTTACTGCTCTGAACTGACAGGTGAAGTGTGCTGTCCCGATGAACCGCAGAACCGGGTGTCCACTGGCATTGGCGACTCCTGCTGTGGCAGAATACCCTTCTCCACCTCAGGAAACCAGATCTGCTGTGCTGGGGAACTTCATGACAGCCACAGCCAGCAGTGCTGTGGGGGACAGATTGTGAGCAAGGATTTGGAGTGCTGTGGTGGAGAAGAAGAAGGTGTGGTGTACCGTCACATCCCAGGTAAGACAGAGTCTCTGAGAAGCAGAGAGGGGTAGAACTGTGCCCTAGGATAAAATAAGTAAATAAAGCGCACATTAATTACACATAAGGTAACCTTTAGGAGCATGCTATATTACCAATAAAAATGCAGGCTGTCATTTTTATGAGTATCTAATGTATTTCATAAAATCACATCAAAATTCTTCTTGAAAACGATCACATTCACACACACACATACACACACACGCACACACACACACACACAAAATGATCCCACCCATAAACACATTAATTCTGGATAAACTAAATATTTCCTAACAAATAAAGATGGTGCATAAAATTATTATAGCAGTATTGTATAATCACTTTTTTACTCCCTCGTGTGTCTGTATTTATGCAGCTGACGCTAATATTAACAAAAATCTATCAGTGAATTAATACTTATTATCTAAAAAGCACTGTGCCCAATGTTTTACTTCAATTCATCTTTACCATAGAATAGGTACAATTATAAAAAATGAGGAAACTGAGGCATAGGCAGAAAATCGTTCAAGCTCACAGAGCTAATCAGATCTAGATTTTGGGGAGCTTGAAGCTTTCATAATTGGGGGAATTGGAAAAAATTGGGAAAATTGTAATGTTCTTATTCTTTAAAAAAAAATAAATCATGGGACCAGCAGTTGGCATAATGGCTATGTCACTAGACTCCCATGTAGCCAACTAGACTTCGCATCCCAGACCCGGAGGCTTAAAACTCACGCCGGGCGCGTGTGCGTGCGTGCCCAAGATCCCGAGAGGAGAATGGAGGAGAAGGGATTGCCGCATGGCCATCCCCGCTGCAGGGGTGATTTCTTGCTTGCTGTCTCTCTGCCTTTCTCTGTCTCTCTGGTGAGCACATGAGCCCTATAGCAAAAACCTCTCAAAAAAATTAAATTATGAAAACAAAACAAAATATTAAATATTTATTTATAATGAGAAAGTAAATTGTAAAAATTGCAAACTAAGAAAAACTAGTAAATTCCACTAATATAAAGATGAAAATAGCAAACTTGTATTATTTCTGACATTGCTGTATGTTTTTCCCCCTGAGGTGTTTAGATTATATCTTTGATCATCTATTCATATGACAATAGTTTTGCAATGTTAGTATCTATTTTAAAAAATTAATTTAGTCTTTCTTCAATATAAATTGATTTTTTAAATTACTTAAAGTTAAGAAAAGGGACTCTAAGTTTTATAAATCATGATTATAATATTATATAAATATTTAGAATTATTGTCAAATTTGCAAAATCTCTGCTTTCTAAGATAACAGGCATTATAAATTTCCTTGTCTTAAAATGTAATTACTTGTCTTAAATATTTGTTGACTATATAGTGCTTCAAGTCTAAATGTACAATTTTCTTTTTATAGTCACTATTTTTTTGTATGATAAGAAATTTATTTTGTTACAAATCTCATTTTCATGTCAGACTAATTTTAAATGATTACATTGTTCATTTTTATAGCTTTTGTTTCATATTACATTAACTCTTCTAATCTGATTTTTCTCTTTCTTTAATGCTTCCCTTAAATGCACTCAAATTAGGAATCTGTCATTTCTCACATTTTTTTTCTTCCTGAATTAGTTAAAATGGAATATTCAAGCCTTGACATTTTTTTATGGAAATGATTGAAACTATAGAAATGTAGTTACTAAATTCAAATGGAGTACATCCCAGGTCCAGCCAATTGGCACACCAGTAATGTAATGCCTTTGCAAGGCTGGAAGCCACATGCTGACTACAGGCTCAGATACCCGGTTGGCCTGAACATATAACAGGCACGTGCCTGGGTGTTCAAGATCCTGTGAAGCTCAAGGGTTGGGGAAAAGCTATCACAGTGTGACGAGACTCTGTTGAGAGTCTCTCTTGCTGTCTAATGTGTGTGTGCATACAGTATCATTAAGTAAATAAATAAATTTCACATTCAGGTTCTTTTAGTTGGATTTCAAAAATGCTCATGGTACTCCAACTTCAATCAGTATGAGGGCACATATGACAACAGGCAAGGTAAAGGGACAAGAGATTGTGGTCATGACACATTGCATTATACTTTTTTTTTTTTTTTAGAGATTTTTGCTATAGGGCATGTGCACTTGCCAGAGAGAGAGAGACAGAAAGACAGAGAGAGAGAAAGTGAGAAATCAGCCCCCCAGGGGAGATGGCCATGCTGCAATCCCTTCTCCTTCACTCTTTTCTTGGGATTTTGGGCACTGTCACTCATGAACTCAGCACAAGTTTCAAGCCACCAGGTCCAGGACTCGAACCATGGTTAACTAAGTGGGAGTCTAGTGACATAACCTATGCCATCTGTTGGTCCCTGCATTATACTTATATAATTTTTTTTTTGAAGATTTTTACTACATGGTACAAGTGCTCACCAGAGAGACAGGGAGAGAGAGAGAGACAGTAAGTGAGAAATCATGCCCAAAGAGGGAAGATACCACACTGCAGTCTCCTCTCCTCCATTCCCCTTTGGGGACTTTGGGCATGCATGCACAGGCAGGCATCCAGCATGAATTTCAAGCTGCCATGTCTGGGACTCAAACCATGTTCAACCACATAGGAGTCCAGCACCTTAACCAGAATGTCACCTCCTGACCCCATTCTTTCATAAATTTCATACATTTAAATTACCTTGTTTTCTTTGTAAGAGTCTCACACAACCAAAGGCCCTTGAAGATCACACCTTCAGTAGCTTCAAGGTAAACCCATCCCTGCAAACAGTAGGTGGTGAGGCTCTTGTCCTCTCTGAGGATGATTTCAGGACATCATAATCTCTGAATAGAGAGGAACTAGAATGCTCTCCTGTCTTCTGATACTGTCACCTCTTTTTAAATACTCTCAAAGAATTATCCATGATACAAATAACAGTTATTGTAATTTATTAGTATAGTTTTTACTTGTAGTTATGATTACAACTATAACCATATACATTCGTATATACAGGTTTTATCTCTTCTGTAGAAAAAGTTCTGATGTAAACTACTAAAAGGAACACTTCAATACCAAAATCAATAACAAAAATAAAAAGTATCAGTCCCTGGTGTGCCTGAATATTATACCTTAATAAAAATAGACATGGTACTGTAAAAGCTCTTAAATAGTTAAGATGTACTAAATTGGTCTATTCACAACTATATTTCAATCTTTTCAGAGTAGGAAGACTCATCTTTGAGCCAAAAAATTGATTGATTTCTGGTTTCTTATTTTATCCTAAGAAAAGTAAAAAATGTGTGTGCAAGCCATTTGCCAGTCTACAAAGTTATGCATCACTCATCTGGATCCACACTATAATATCCTGTACAGTATTGTTTTTCTTTGTGACAAAGGGAGAGAGAGAGAGAGACCAAGATAAGGTATTGTTGACAGAGTCTCTCCATGGTGCAATCCTCCTACCCAGCCTCCAAATTAGCTAGAATTGCAGATGTGCGCGACCATGCTTGATAAGTTCAGGTCGGCCTGGGAACCAAACATGAGCCTCCCGTATGGCTTCCAGCCTCTCAGGCAGTGGTGCTACCAGTGAAGTGCAGCTGATGCCTGTACTTTTGTGTTGGTTTTTCTTATTTTTTTTTCTTTTTTTGCTATAAGGCATGTGCACTCACTAGAAAGATACAGACAAAGAGACAGAGTAAGAGTAAGAAATCACTCACAAGGGTGAGTCCTTTCTCTTCCATTCTCATCTTGGGATCCTGGACACTCTCATACTTGTGCCCAGCATTACTTTTAAGCCAGTGAGTCTGGGACTTGAACTGTGCAGTTAGCCACGTAGGATCCAGTGCCTTAACTTCCACACCACCGGCTGGCCCACCTGTGCATTTTAAAATTCAACCTAGTGGGACACATCTAGAAGATCTTAGGATGTGTATTGTCAAATGAAATTACATTCCCATGTTGTTTTGTTGATACGTATCAACTAAAAGACGTACCCAGGATCAGAAGACAAATAGCAACAAGTAAATAACATGGTGTGTTCACTATCTGCCGAGCTGAGTTCTACAGGTTTCGTATTCATTCACACGTTTAATCCTCCCAACAACCCTATGGGGTAGGTACCATTATTATCTCACTTTTACAGAGGAGGAATCAGAAGTATAAAACTTTAAAAATTTCCCAAGATTATACAGCTAATATGTGGCTGTATTACTTCAGGTAACACTAACTGCAGTTATAAATGAACCTCAGAATTTACAAGGGCTCAAATGCAGAGGGGTGTATTTCTCTCTTGTGGAGTAATAGTGAGGTGGTATCTGCAGGGTAGCTCTCTTTCCCAGTTATTCTGGCTATTAGAAGTTCTGTTATTTTCAGAAGGTAGTTTCTAAGGTCATAATAGATAAGGATATAACATAGGTTTTCTATTAATCAGGTCTAGGAATAGCAAGTACAAATATTTTTCTTACCCTTCCACCGACTAGAGGTCGATTATGTGTTGAAACCTAAATGTGAGGGAGGCTGGGAGATGTGTCTATGAATCTCTTCCCATCATGGCTAAGAAAAAATTCAGAGGCCATACAAGTGGCTGTAGAATCTGTGCTTTCATCCTGTAAGTATTCTGATATCTGAACAAGCATTGGATACTTTCTCCAACTCAAACCAAATCAATGCTCATTAAGTCTGATAATCAGGACCAATAATGTAGCCACCAAGTTGCAAACACGTAATGCATGACCGGGAGAAAAAAGAGAAAGAAACGGTATAAAATCTGCCCTTGGTTGCACATCCCATGCATGCAAAAGGTAGAAGAAAAGAAATTCTAGGGACCAGCAGATGGTGTAATGGTTACATCGCTGGACTCCCAGATTCAGTGGCTTAAAACTCACACCAGGCGAGTGTGTGTGTGTGCGCCCAGAATCCTGAGAGGAGAATATAGAAGAAGGGATTGTGGCCTAGCCATACCCCTGGGGCAGTGATTTCTCGCTTTCTGTCTCTATCTCTGTTTCTCGGGTGAGCGCATGTTATCTACAGTGAAAAATTTCTCT